GCCAACATTGTCATTGATACTAAATATCCAGAGAGCTCTTACAGTATGCTAGGTTTTGGCCACAGGATTACTTTCAATCCCAGCCAGTGAGTTTGCAAAGGTAAATTCTACCTCGTGTATGAAGTCCAGGAGCCATGGGCTGTGAAGGGTCCAGTCTCGAGGCGAAAGCAGAAGAGGTGCAGGCGCGTAGGGCACGAAATGTAAGGTGGCACTCGCTCCTTGCACCCATCCGACCCTGGGAGGGAGCACCTCCCACACTGTCGGTTGCCCCACCCTAGTTCCTGGCCCTGTGGCTGGGAAAGGAGTTGAGCATTGAATTTTTACAGACAACAGATAGTGTGAACGGAATTTGGTTTCATATTTATTTCTATTAAATAAAATAGAAGAGGCATGCTCCTATGATGAACAGGATGTTTGATATCCAAAGGATAATAATACCAAATTAAAGAATGACCTCTTTTACACAAAGTGATTTGTCACTAAGTATGCAAAATTTGCATAGGTATATTTATGTAAGTCATAAAGAAAAAGAAAATATTAACTACTAACAAGCCCCTGAACGTTTTTCCTTCTTCTCCCCTTCCCTCGCCCCCCCCTCCCCCAAGTCCATGTACAGTTCAGTAGCACAGATGTGTCAGTCCTGTTTCTGTTTCTTGTTTCTTGAAAACGCTCCTGGTTTTGGGAACTGCCTTGGCAGGCCTGGGACGGTGCAGGAAAAGACCCAGACACAGCAAAAGCCCTGATTCAAAATTCAGCAGGAAAGAAACTAATGGGGAAATGCATTTCCGGAGACTCAAGATAAAGAACCTTAAAAATCTCTTAAGTATAGGTTTTCCGGTAACATATAACACATGTTCCTTTCTCAGAAACTGGGTTATAACAGTTTTTCTTTTCTTTTCTTTTTTTTTTTTTGTTTGGTTGTAATGAAGTTTCTGGACAGTCCATCAAAACAGAAACATGAAGTCTACTTTAGGAATTCCTTTGTGCTTGGGCATTCGTTCTACTTTCCTGGTGTGCCAGACTAAGTATGTAACAATGAGATAGAGTTGTCTTTGCCTGAAGGTACCGTAGACTATTTGTATACAAGTAGACATAAGAAGAAAAATGAATTCAAGCCAGATGATTTGGCCTCCTTTCCTTCGACAGGCAAATGAGAAGGTCATGGAATTTGCAACACAACCAAACCCTGAAAAGTGTTTCTGAAATAACTTAGTTTTACTAAATAAATAGGCCATGTTCATATATGGTGTTGAAAACCTGCTCTAGCTTCACAACTTCTGAGTATCATTCCAGGAATTTACACAAGAACAGGGCCAGTATATAACATAATGTGACTTTCTTGTTACGTAAATGAGCAAATGTGTGCTGAAGTGGACGAGGCATTGCACTCTGAAGTCCGAGGTATGACTTCTAAACCCAGTTAGACCCTTGCCCAGCTCTGTGAGTTTAGGCAAGTCGTCACTCTCAGACCTCCATGATAATCCTGTTCTGTGATAGGGAGGTTCAGTGAGAGCCTTTTCTTTAAGAGGTACAATTCTATACAAATGTAAAGGATTTCATTTTGACCTTTTGCTCGCTTCTCCTTCTCTGTGGTCTTCTGAGGCCCTCCCTGTGAAGCAATAGTCTCAATAGAAAAGAAAATAGAGCAACCTGGGATTTACCCTGTATGGCTTTTGAAGCAGTAATAAAATTTGTATAAAATTGATTTTAATATTATCCCAGCTGGAAAAGGTAAAAGGTACTCCCCTGGTTTTCCTCCTCCCCACCGACCACGCCCCGTAAGTCCTACGGGCTGCTTCACCTCCTTTTTCTGACCCCTAAAGATTGGATTGCCCCAGCTCGGCCTCATACAGCTTCTCGTCATTATGTTCAGTTGGTCTCCTGGCTTTCAATATACAAGGACTTCCCTATCACCAGTCCTCTAAAACTCTCCTGAACTCACATATCCAACTATCTCCCTAATGTCTCGTCTCCACAGAGATGTTCAATAAGCACCTCAAACTTACCATGACCAGTGTAGACCTCGTTTGCGTTCCTCCTCTGCCCTTTCCTACCCAGTCTTCCCCGTCTGGGGGCCTGCATGTCACCCCAGCTCATCATCTAGGTCTCTGCTCAGCTGTCACCTCTTCTCTGTCCATCCCATCTGAAGTTCTCCTTACTTCTTTTTTGTTCTTTTTAAATTTTATTGGGGAACAGCCATGGTCATTGGTTCCACATTGCTTTCATACTACAATGGCATAGTTGACTCTTTTAAAGAGGGCGCAGCTCATCACAGTGGCCCATGTGGGGATTGAACCAGCAACCTTGGTGTTAGCAGCGCGACACCCTCACCGACTGAGCCGGCCGGTCATCCCCATCGCCTCACTTCTTGCTCTGCATTCTCCTCCCACATTGCTTCTCTCCTTCATCTTAGTGCCAAGATAACAGGAATCTTACCTGTCTTGTCTACCACTCAGTGCCTGAGGCTGCTGGATTCATCATGGGAGCTGAAGAAATATTTATTTATTTATTTTTATTTTTATGTTTTTAAAGATTTTTTATTTTATTGGGGTATTGGGGGGAAGGGAACAGCGCTGGGGAATTGGGGGAAGGGGAACAGACAAGTTGCTGTCGTTTTGTTCTTCAGTCTAGTTGTGGAGGACGTTGCTTCACTGGCCCAAGTTGGCACCATCATTGCGCTCTTCCCGGGTGAGGCAGATCAGTCGCCGGCTTCTGGATGGCCGCTCACTGCAGCTGCTGGCCGCTCACGCTGGCTGCTGGCTACACACGGTAGCCCATGGCAACCCACTGCCACAGGGGCTGCAGCCTACGCCGTCGCCGGCGACTCACGGCAGCCCAGCTCCAGGTTGAGCTGTTGTTCAGCATCTTAGCTGTGGAGGGCAGTGTCACTGGCCCTCATATGTGGGATCCTAACCGGGGCCCTCTGGAGTCCCAAGCCAGTTCTTAACCAACGCGCCACTCGGCCGGCCCTGAAGAAATATTTATTGAATGAATGAATGAATGAAAGGAGGGGAGGAGGTAGGGAAAACAAAGGGAGGAAGCAATTTGCTATTCTCTTTGAGAGGTAGGACAAAGGGAATTGGTGAAGTTGTGGGGATGCTGTCTCTTAAATTGCTTTTTTGATCTAATTCATTAATTCCTTCTGAATTTTCTTAAGTGAATTTGGTCTTCAGGGAGGGCTAACGTAGTGTAGGGATCTTGAGAAAACAGGGTTGCACGTAAGCAGCTTTGGGGTCTAATAGTAGTAGTTATTGGTGAAAAGGTACTTAACTAAGATTGAGGTCTGAGACTTGAAATGCTGAACTTCATGATGATTAAATGGTTAAAGAGATTTTCAGAGTGCAACAGAATGTTATTATTGCTTCCTAGTCATTGAAATCCATGCCGAAGTTTCCATCCTTTTTTACCCTGTTGACAATGAAAATGATGGCCAGGAAAGGGCTGACAACCTGCTTTCCAGAGCTGCCGTTTTCAGGCCTGTGGCGTCTGGCTGGAAGGGCATGTATTACTAGGAGGCCTCTTTGGAACTGACTTCTGAGCATTAATTTCTTTCACCAGGAGATCAGTAAATGACCCCTTCCACCTGCTGCCATCCACATTTGGAATTTGGTTACATCATTGATTTTTGCTCCTGCTGGATGGGTTTTATAATCAGTCTCAAGGAGAAAGGAGATGGCATTTCACATCACTGCTCTGCCAGCTTCTGCTTGCGGGGACAATTCACGGCGTCCAAATTTAACTTCATACAATGTCATTTTCCCCCTTTTCAAATTGATGACTTGGGGCGCCCCATGCTTATGAAACATCGGCTTACTGTGCTTTGGCCAGTATCTAAATTGTGAACTTGGGAAATTTTAAGCATAAAACCCCCCACTGACCACAGCCAAGATGAATAAAGAATCTACAGTGCCATCTGCTGGCGTCCTAGGGAAATGCAGGATATGTCTAGTAGAAGAGCCTAACAAAACGAAAAGATCCAAAGTGCAAACCTGAGAATAATTTATTTAAAACGTATGGTAATTTGAAGAAAGCAGATTAAAAATAATGAAAAAATTGTGAGTCTCTGTACACGTATTTTCTGGAGAAATGCTTGATTACCTGGTGTGGGGCTGTGTTTACCTTTCGGGTTTTTTGGGTTCATCTGTATCAGCAGTCAAACTGGCACCAGGGTGGGGCAGGGCGTGCTCCAAACCTGATGCCCAGACATGTCTTGATTAACTTGGACACATTTTTAAAAACATTGAATTATTTGCTATCACTTAAAAATGTGGAGCTCTCCTTAAAAAATGCACATTTCTGGCTTCTCTTTACACATCGGAATGTGTATGTAGCAAGACGGATAGTGCGGCCACTAACTGGAAGACCTACCTGTTGGCTGCCCCCTGTGTTTGGGGGCCCTCCATTATCGCTCCTACAGCTGACCACCTCACCTGCTGGTCTGAGTGGCATTTGTGGTGCTAGGTCTATATTTGCATTATTATTAGTAGTATTAGTATTATTGTCATCATTATTATTTAGCTGAGCCATCCTGCCACCTGTTGGCAGCTCTTCAGCAACTCAGCTTGGGCCAGGACTTGAACCTCTGTTGCTCAGAGCTCGTACTCCTGAGTGAGCTCTTAACCAACTGAGCCACTGGGTTGGCCCTTATTTGCACTATTATTTGCCTGTTCTTTCCCACTTACACAAGAGACTTCTCAATGGCAGTAACTTCACAGGTAGTTAACAGTTCACAGGAATGGAATGGACTTCAGCAGTCACCTAGTGGAGTTTGTCCCCTTCACTTAAGATAGGTCTTACGCTACCAAAGGGTTGACAAATGGTATATGAGTATGTTTCTAGAAAGGCAGCTGATAGCTGCAGAAGGCTGCTGGTAAATATCCTATAAACATGTCCCTGGCTCTGCTAAGTAGTATTGATGCTGATCACCCTAGTTTGGGGATTGTCAGTTCTCCTGCGAAGGCAAAGCCCCCCCAGTAATCAGACTTGTTTTTTCTTCCTAGGAACCCTCTTCATAAGTCAAACTCCGAAGACGGCTCTGTAGGTCAGTATCACTTTCCTTGGTTTACCTATTTAAAATTATTTTCTTTTAATAATTTATAAAACACGTAAATATGTGAGAAAAGGAAAACCACAAAGAATCCTTCTACCCTCAAACACTGTTAAGATTTTGATGTACAGCTTTCCTCTCTTTTTTCCCCCCAGTATTTGTGTTTTTTCTAAAATACTTGAGATCATATTCTACATATTATAATTTTTTTCAATTGAGCATTTTTCTGCAATGGAATATTCCTTACAGTAAAATTCTTACATCTGCATAATATATCATCATATTAGACGTGCCGTAATTTAATCAACCAGCCGCTTGTTTACTGAATATTTAAGTCATTTCTAATCTTTGTCACAGAGAAAATGATGCTTCAGTAAAAATCCTTGAGCTTATCCCTGATTATTTTCTTAATAAATTCTTCAATTTGGAAACTTCTGAATCAAAGATTATACACCTTAAAGGTGGTACAGATTTCATATCTTCTTGATTATAAAAATCCACTCTTAATTGAGTAACATCTCTTAATTGAGTAACATCTTTTCTGTTTGGTTCAGAGGGAGCCTGGCAAGGTAATTGGGATTCGAAGCGTTAAGTGTTCAAATCAGGCTTTGATTTGGATTTGAATCGTAACTCTCTGCCAACTTCATAGCTATGACCTTGGGCAAGTCACTTGCCTCTCTAAGGTTCGCTTTTGTTATCCACTAAATGGGAACAATAATACATCATATGTTCACCATGAGTATTAAATGAGATATGCCATTAGGTAGCAAAGTGCCCGGATATAGTAAGTGCTCAATAAATGTTAGCTATTATCATTTATTTTTTTATTTGCACTTCCATTTCAAAAAAGTTAACATGGGGGGAGGGGGATTATAGCTTACAGTCAAAGAATTATATCATATTCCCAGATTGTCCCAGAAGGGTTGACTGAGTAATGATCCTGCTTTTGCTTTAACCTTTCATGGTCACTGTTTGCTGTGGTATTTAACCCAAAGGCAGCAGACACTGTCAAACTTGCCTTCAGAATTCTGAGTCCTTAGGCAGTCTCAGGCTAGCCCTAGGTCTCTGGTTCCGTCCCATAGCTCTGGGGGTTGTCAGAACTTACATGAGGGCATCCTGTTGGACAAATGATGCCCTTCCTAGCCGGGGAGCACTGTGGATGGGGTTTCTATACGTCTGTTTTGTGCAGCATCGCCTGGCACCACTAGGCTAGACTGGCAACCAACAGTGTCCCGCTTTGCTGGACCTTGTTTCCAGTGGCTGTGGAGCAACCAGACTCCGAATGGTGACAAAGCTGCTGCTTTGAGTGAGCCGAGTCTATGAGAGAGGACATCATGCTGCTGTTTCCTCTCATTTCACTCACTTACCCCCTTTCCCTTTACGTATTATTAATGATCAGAACCCTGCCAGATATTAAAACTGTCTAGCTATGGCAAGAATTTGTTTGCACTGGAAAGTTACCCAGAACAATCTGAGAAGATAGGAAGGAGGGGGACTCAGTTGGGAGATGGTACAGCAGCATAGCAGCCTTCTTTTCTTGTCCTTGTATCCTGGGTAAACTAGGTAGGTCACCAGATAGCCCGAATGCCAGAGAGGTGGGGTCATGCCCCACTCATGCCATCGCTAGACTCATACAATCTCCACACCTTAGAGAAACAGCGTGAGGCGCCCCCGCAGACCCGGGACCCAGCCCTGTGGACCAGTGTACACAGCATGTACCTACCATCTGTCCTCTGCATTAAATCTGGGGAACAGAAATCAGTCAAGGGTAGATCGACAACAGGAATAACAAGGAAACAAAATTTACTTCTCCAAGTATTCTGTTTGTGGTTTAGCTGAAATAATTGTGACTGAGACCAAAAAGGGGGAAATATATCACAAGACAAGACAGAATTAGACGTACTAGTTAAACAAGCATCAAAGAGAGTACAAGAATGCATGTTTTGCCTGCCTTTTCGATATTTCCATATTTTTCATCTTATTTCTGCTGCGCTGTTTCTTGCTGCTAGGAAAGTTGCATTTCTTTCAAACAACTTTATAGGCATTTACAAATCTCTCCCATACTGAAAGAGAAAAACTGCCTATTGGTGAAATCAAAGTATTCTTACAAGCTTTGAATTATAAGGAAGAGGCTACTTTTGTTATTAATGAATTTATTGCTTGTGTCTTCTTTTTTAAAGGAAAAGGAGATTGGAAGAAGAAAAACAAGTATTTCTGGCAGAACTTCCGAAAGAACCAGAAAGGAATAATGAGGCAGACTTCAAAAGGTACTGGAACACAGCTGGCGGACAGTAGGGCCTTTTAGCTCTCAAATGCTGAGATGTCCATGCCTCTCATCTGAATGGATGCTGCAAGTTTGAATGGCTCATTGCATGTGCCCATAGCATGTTCAGCGTTTCTGACATTCCGATCGTTACTTTAAAACTTCATCCTAGTAGGAATTTTTTTTCTTTTCTTTTCTTTTACACAAAAAGGGAAGAGTTGGCAAGCTTTCCTTTTCATAGATCAGTCAGTGAAAACCAAATCTTTAGTTTTCTCCATCCTACCAACCACAGGAAGATCTTTACTCGCTGAGATCTACCCTAAAAGGGTCCAGTATTTGTTAGTTTTGGATGCTCCCCACTGCCCTGCCCCTTGGGGCCTTTGTAATCTTAGGAACTTTTGATGCTTGTCTGTGACAGGGATGGTTATGGGACTGTTGCCCCTGGAGACTGTGTCTAATGGTCTGACATCATGGGAATTCGCTCAGGCTGCTTTGTGAAGGCAGCCCTGCCCTCCTCCTGGCCGTGTCTTTGTTGCTGTTTATATATTAAGTAAATCTGTCATCCCTTTGGGGCCCAGTTATATAATTTGTGTTTCCCCAGTATTCAGAGAGGGAACGGAAAGAAAGCTACTTCTAGATTCCAGCCCTAGATTCCAGACTAAGGTTATCATTAGATGAGAATTTGTAATTGCTCACCAGTGGCATGACTTGATTTCTTTTACAAAATCTTAGCGTCCTGCCCTGTTCAGAATGCTTCTCCAGTTCCTGATGCACACGGAATTGAGAAAAGTGGACACAGGCAGCCTGGATGTCGGGAGCGCACCTGGGTTCCTTGGCAGCGTTTGATGGGGTTATTATTTTTTTTTCAGTTCTCCTTGAAGGGAGTTATTCTTAAACATTCCCAGTTTTCCCTTTTGGTCCACACCCAGGATCACTTGTGATTCAAAGTCAACCTTGGATTCTAACAGAGTCTTATTTAGAGAGAAAGAAAAGGAGAAAGAGCGAGAAAGGGATACAGGGTGGGAGCCAACAATTTAGCAGCTCACGTGGCTTTCTTTTAAAACCCAACCAACTCACCATCACCCGTCCACCATTGGAGTTGACAAAGATAGTAGGAATGAATCAAACCAGCAGGTTTTCGCCCTCACCCAGCACACTCTATTCTTCTTCCTGGGCAAGGACAGGAGAGGCAAAGGGAACTCGAGTGGTATTTCTGGACTGATTGATTACAAAATGGAAATGAGAGAGGGAGACACCGGGAAACATAAATTCCAAAGTAGGTCCTGCCTGGAAGGGGTCCTCCAAGTGTGCAGCCAGCCTCTTCCCCTCTGTCTGTTTACGCCGAGGGCAAATTAGGCCTTAGCCGAACATCCTAATGTCGCCGAAGCTAGTAAGATCTGGATGGGAAAGACAGGGCAGAAAGAGAAAGATGAGGGACTAGAGTGCAAGCTTATTCCCAGCGTGCGTAATTCAGCCAGCTTTCACTGACATATCTTTTTCCTACACGTTGACCCAGAGGCGCACACGCCAACGCAGCTCATACGATAGAGGCGATGGCAGTCTGTTTGCTTCGTAGGAAAACACTTTCGAGGAAACTTGATGGGGGTTCTGTTTTCCTCTGCAGCTCTGGTTGCCTTAGTTTCCAGTTGGAAGCTCAGTTCTCCATCACGGCTTGGAAACATGTTTGTGACAGCGATCCTTTCTGACAGATACATACAGAGGGTGCCCAAAAAATGTATACACATTTTAAGAAAGGAAAACCCTATTAAAATTGTAATACTCAATACATACTGGTAACAAAAGATGAATACAAGTCACGTTTGACTTCTGCAATTACACGAGGTGCTCAAAGTGGTTCCCATCAGCGTCCAGATACTTCTGATGATGGCGAACTCCTGCTTCAGCAATGCTGACCCAAGTGTCCACTTGTACACATTTTTTTTGGCACCCCTGGTATGTAGTACCTTCCTTTCAGTGACCTCAGACGGCTTCGCATCTGTGATTATATTTATTTGCACTTATCCTCTGAGGAACAGCGGTAGTCAGATAGTTCAGTAGGGCTTCTGCAGGCTGTGTGAGGTTGTGTGAGGCAGCTGACTCGGTGCCCTTACCTTTCTCTGTCATGGCAGATGGTTCCCTCCTCGCAGAAACATTTTTTTCTCATTCATACTTGAAATGGAAGGACATAGGGCGCCCTCACCAGAGGAGCCTAGGAAAGCTTGTCTGCTCTCGCTGGGTCTTTAAGTCTCTGCTCTACCTCTCACTGCCTGTCTGCTTTCTTCCAAAACTCGCCTGGACCCTCCACCGCCTAAGCTCAGATTCTTCTAGAGGCGTTGTTTCTGTGGTATCATCCGTACATGATCTTGGCACCTGTTTCCCAGTGAGATGGGCTCATGGGCTTCCTACAAGATAGCCCGTTACTGCTCCTGTTCCTCTTGCCAGTGACGCACGACGGGGACCGTCATGCCCCTGCATCGCACCCCCCCCCCTGTAACCCTACATGACGAAATTTCTAGATTGGGCTTCAGCTTTATCTTGCTTGTTTTCATTCCCGCTCTTTATCTTCAATCTCCAGGAGAAGATGTGGGTTATGTTGCAAGCGAGATAACAATGAGTGATGAGGAACGGATTCAGCTGATGATGATGGTCAAGGAGAAGATGATCACCATTGAAGAGGCGCTTGCTCGGGTAAGAGTGCAGATACTGTTTCCCGTTTGTGAGTACTTGACCTCCTTACATTGAAACATGTTGGGACCTGTTATAGACTGAATGTTTGTGTCCCCCCTGCCAAATTCCTGTGTTAAATCCTAATGCCCGAGGTGATGTTATTTGGAGGCGGGGCCTTTGGGAGAACACCCAGCCTAGCTGCCAGCTGGGGTGAAAAGTCCACCGTCCATCTTTCTCTCCAGTCCCATTCCTTGACTATGCTGTAGCATTTGGGGGAAGTCCAATTGAGTTCCTAGAAAATGCATAGGAGCAATACGGCCCTGTAGTAGTTTTATCATGATAGGTAAGATATTTATGTACCGTCTGTAAAGTGGTGCTGCTGCCCTGCTTTTTTAATTGTAAAAATGAAGACCTGCGTGCTGAAGATGTCTCCAGCTGTCAGACAATGCCTGTGTTTGGGAAGGGAGTGGCATAGGATATGCCTAATCCAGTTTTCTTGAAGTAGAAGAAAATGTTAAAAGTGGCCTTGACACAGTCCACTTTAGTAACACATCTCTATCATTGAAAAAGAAACAAGCAAATACTTTCAAAGTTGGGGAGAAGAACAATTTGTTTGAAGCTCTTTCTGAGCTCAAAACTGGAACAGCCTGCCATGGTTTCCATGGTCACGAGAAGGTGACACAGCTGTATGCAGATTTGGGTGGAGGCTTTAGCTGCGTAGCCTGCCTGTTGCCAGGTTGGCCGCCTTTGGTATTTCAGGACAGGGCTCATCAAGAGATTAAGAGTAGTTTCTATAAAGCCTTCCAAAAACACAGATTGAAGGAAAAAACTGATGACATGCTCTAAACTTGACTAGATTCTCCGCACGAAGATGGGTGTCCTTTGACAGATGATGAGGCAGGGGAAGCTTGGTGGCCTGCTCTTGGCAGGGCAGCATACCGCCTCAGCTCCAAGCGCCTGGGTGGGCTTCTTTTTGGAAGAGACAAAACACTAGAAAAAATGTTACTTAGATTAGAAACTAGTCTGCGGAAAGGATATGCTTCCTTGAACTTATGAACAGCTAGCTCAAGGATCCAAGTTTCCGCGATCACTGTAGAAATGAAACATTAAGACCTAGACCTCCTATAAGGACCATGATGACAGTGGTCCTCCAGGACAATGATATGTGTTTCTCCCACCATCAATCAGAGACTTATAGCCCCGTGGGTAGGACACCGAGACTTGAATCCTGATAGGACAGCCCAGCGCCAAGAGAGAAGTTAGCCTATGTGCCTTGTGGAGCTGGGTGTATTGGAGAAAATTATGCCTGTGTTCCAATGAAGAAGACCGGTTGGTCCTCTGTGTTTTGTTTATATGAATTTGATCTCATTGATGAATTTTTTCCTCACTGTGAAGTTGAGAGCCATTATTCATACCCCAAAAACGCAGTTATTGATAATAGAAAAATCAAAATGAAAAAGGCTGCAAGGATCTAATGTGTGAGACACCACTGTAAGATGCACAAACATTTGAAGAAAATGAAAGTTGATGAAACAACTCTCAGTGTATTTTTTTGAGTGTGTAATTTTAAAAGAAAGTGGCCTAACTTATGATTTTATATTTTATGAAGTGAGTAGTTCCATCAAATCTAGTGGCATTTGAACCATTTTCTAATAGTTTATGATGGATACTTACTTACTACATGTGCTTTAAGGAAGTCAAGCTCATTAGTAAAAAAAAAAATTGTTTAGGGGGATCAAGGTAATTGGTATATTCTAAATATCACAACTTCCAGGTGCTAATTTTAAGAGCATACATAGCTCTTGGCAAGTAAGTTTAGGGCACTTTAACCTTGGACTAGCTCTCCAAGGTCTAGAAAGCTCATGAGACACTTGGAAGCCACAGGTTATTCGTCTATCTGGGTAATTTTTGTGGTGATGAGTAAAGATGAGAGGGAAGGGAATAAATTCAATTTTAAAGCCTTGGATGAAAGAGAACACTATTGTTTTGGTGTGATGGTACTCGGCATTGATGGAGCTATGTTGTAGGGAAAGATGTCCTTTGACATTTTAACTGGAAGCATTGTCTATCGGAAATTGAGAGAGACCTGTGACCATGATTTAATAATCATGTTTTCTAAAAAGTAACCTGATTATGAATACTAAAGACTGCTCATGTAACTTGATCTAATTCCTAAATACTATATATTTATCCATATGATAAATATGTGTCTGACTCCACAAGGGCACATCTGTGGGAAAGTCCAAAATAAAGTCCTTAAAAGATTTGAAAAAAAAAAAAGTACTTGATGTTTGTCACCGACTTGACTGATGTTTTAGCATTGTGAACTTTGCTTAATGCCAGCTGTCTTACGTCAAGTTCCCTAGAAGCAGAGCCTGACCTGGGGATTCTTGTGCACGTGATTTATGGAAGGAGAGCTTTCAGGAGAAGCCTGAGGGAGGGAGGGAGGGAGGGAAGGAGGGAGGGAGGGAAGGAGAGGCTGGGAGAAGAAGCTGGACAGAGATGTGATTTCTGCAGAAGTCCCGCCTCAGCCTGATTCCTTAGGGAGCGGGGAGCTCTCTCTGGAAGGTGAATTACATTGTAGAGTTTGTCCTGCCAGAGAAAAAGAGGCTAAAAACTGTTGGGGAGGAGGGAGACGTCTTCTAGGCATCCCTGGAGAGACGGCTCCTAGCAGCCATGGATAGTTCTCCAAAGTAGGGTTCGGGCGTGAGCCCATATCTACAGGAACTAGGGAATAGGTGAACAGATTTGTAAAGTACACAATTATGAACTGGGAATATATATATATATATATATATATATATATATATATATATATATATATATATATATTGTTCAATTATTGCCTTGTAGCAGCTATCGTGCTTCAATCACAGCGATTTGGGCAACTAGAGAGGCTCATGGAGAGAGTCTGTCAGGGAGCAACAAAGTGATTGAGGGGTTTTTGTTGTTGTTGTTTTAGTAGGTCCCATGGGGTAAAATTGGAAAGGATTTATCACAGAAAAGAGCTTGATCACTGTCCTCGAGTATTTGAAGGATTATTAAACAGTACATCTTCAGGATGTACTGAAGAGGGTTTTGTTTTAATCTCAACTGAGGACGGAATAAAAGAAAGTGAATTAAAATTGCAGCTGGAGAGGATTTAGAGTAGATATAATATGAGTGTTCTTTATAATAAGCGCTCTTAGAAATGGGAACATTGTAGAATAGCTCTCCCTTAACGTCTTTAAGTTAGAATAAGCATTAATCTACTAAAGATGGTCATTCCCTCTAAGAATTATGTCATAGACTTCCAACTATAAGAAAACTATTAGATTAGGGAAAATAGGATGTAAGGGAGTTTTTCCTGCTCCGCAGACACACACACACACACACACACACACACACACACACACACACACACACACACTTTAAAATGTCATTATTTTAAAACTTCTGGAATTAAACTAAAACTTCATAAAGCTGCTTTACAATCTATAAATTTTAAATGAAATGATAAATTATCTTTCCTTCTTAAAATTATAAAGTCCAAACTTCTTCAGGAGCAGAGGGGACTATAAAAAATGTAATTTTGTAAATAATAACCAGGCTGTTTTTTGCCTGTGAATAGCACATAACATTTTGAAATTAGGATAAATACACTCGTAGCTGTAGCTGCTGGACCTCAAAGTAAATGACAGAAATGGACAGATAGCAGAAGAAAAATATTAATTCTGTTGATGATTGACTGTTAGGAATTTGTCTTGTTTTTAACGATGAAGCACATTTAGTGGCTCCTAGGAGTTGGGGCTGAGGCTGAGTACAAAAGTAGAGCACAGACCTGGAGAAAATGAATGATAACCCCAGATTTCAGCTGGCAGTTCTTCCAGCCATACCGGGAGATTATAGCATTTCAGAAACCAATTTATCTGGAAGGAAAGAGCGTTCTAATACCTAACTTAAATGTACTACAAAGATGAGGACAATACTAACACCCCTAATGTTGTACTTGAAAGATTAAAATGTTAGTGCACCGAATAGCAAAAGAGCAAATACCCAGAGTTGATGTGAACTAAAGCTCTCATTTGTCTGAAACCACAGGGCGATAATAATAATGCGGAGATACTAAGCCTATTGCATAGGCACAGTGTGCTGAGAGCTTTGCTGCACATCTTACTGAATTTTAGGGACTAGTCCTGTGAGGTGGATTTATTGTCATCCCCCGTTTTCCAGGGGGGAGGAACTGAGGTTCAGAGAGGTTAAGTCGTTTGCCCAAGGGCTCTCAGCTGGTATTTGGTTCTGCAGCTAAGCTCTTACCCATTAATCAGTACTGTCTGCCTTCCCCTGGTCCATCTCCTGTCACATGTATGCACAGAAAAGAATTTGGTAGTGGAAGCAATGCTTTGCAAAATTGCTAGAGGGATATTGTCAGTGTGCTGGCTGTGCCACATGCACATGACTCCAGAAGTTGAGGATAGTCCCGATGCCATCTGCTGGTGGCTTCTTCATTCATGGACGATATGATTTGATCAGTGTCTTAAATCCATATGTAAAAACCGCTGTCTAGTAGAATTTTAATGCAGTGACCACTGCATTGTATTATGTGGCAGAGTTAAATGGCTGTGTTTTATGAAAGCATATCTGGAACTTCTCACAATTGCCATTCGGAAAGATCCCTCATCTAATTCTGCTCTGTTGTTAACTTTGCTAATTTTCTGTAATATTTCACTTGTCTTTCTGTCTTTTTCAAAAAGTAGAAACCTAGTCGCTCAACCCCAACTTTAAATGTCTCTGAACATATTCTGGATACCTTGCTATTTTCCTGCCATCCACAAGGGTCCCCAAACACCCCGTAACATTTACAGGTGATAAGACTGAACTGGTAACTCGAAGCCGTCGAGAACAAGAAAAGCACGTGATTTTAAAAAGTCAGTTTCAGGCTTCCACCTCTGTTTCACTAAAATGTGCATAGCCTACCACGGTGTGTCTTCCACAAGGAGAGGTAATTCAGGGGCCAAACGACAGTTTCTAATTTAGAACCTAGAATTGAACTGTGAAAGATGAGTTTTGATGTTGGAGGGGGAAAATCGAGGTTCTTTTTGGAATACAGAATACAAAGAGGCGGGTGTGCCTGTTGGTTTAATTTAGATGAAAACCAGCTAGGCAAGGTGTGGATCTTCCTTTTGGTTTTGAGAACCTTGTCTTTGGCTGGCCCTTGGCCCCCAACAGTGGCATGAAGAAGGTGCCCAAAGCGTTCTTTCTGCTGCTTAGTAGCTAGCGTCGGCCATTATTTCCATTTCAATCTTCCATTTCCTCTTGTGGCAGCTCAAGGAATACGAGGCCCAGCACCGGCAGTCAGCTGCCTTGGACCCTGCCGACTGGCCAGACGGCTCTTACCCCACATTCGATGGCTCATCGAACTGCAATGTAAGTTTGCTTTCTCTTTGAGCGTCTTGCCCACCTCCACTAAGACGGGACAGCCTGCACGATTTTAGCCTTGCGATTTCGTCTTGCAATTCCCAGCTCCCACCTGGATCTGAAAAGAAGTGTTGCTTCTTACATGTTAACTCAGTTTTCTTCACACGATAGAAACCCATCTACAGTCAGAGTAGAGCTATTCATGCTGGTTTTTATTTTTAATTGTAGTAATGTACACATAACTTAAAATTTATCATTGTAAGCATTTTTAAGTGTTCTACTCAGTAGCATTAAGTATTCACAGTGCTGTGCAACCATCACCACAGTCCACTTTCAGTACTTTTTCAATATCTAGAACAGTAATTCCACAACCATTAAACAATAACTCTATTCTCCTCTCCCCACAGCCCCTGGCAACCACCATTCCACTTCCTGTCTCTATGAATTTGACTATCCTAGGTACCTCATATAAACTAAATCATAAAGTATTAGTCCTTTCGGGTCTGATGTATTTCACTTAGCACAATGTTTTCAAGGTTCATTCGTGTTGCAGCATATACTAGAACTTCAGCCCTTTTTATGGATGTATAAGTGAAATATGTACTCCACTGTACACATTTACCACCTTTTGTTTATCCATTTATGTTTATAGACAGGGGTTTCTACTTTTGGGCAGTTGTGAACAAGGCTGCTATAATCATTGGTATATAAGAATCTGAGTTCCTGCTGTCAATTCTTTTGGGCATATACTTAGGAGTAGAATTTCTGGATCATACGGTAATTCTATGTTTAACTTTTGAAGGAGCCACCATACTGTTTTTCAGTGACTGTACCATCTTACAGTCCTGATAGCAGGGCATGAAGGTTCAGGTTTCTCTACTTACTCATCAACACCTGTGAAAACTTCCCCGCCAACCCCCCAATTTTTTTTTTTTTTTGAGAATAGTCATCTTAATGGATGTGAGTTGGTATCTAATTATGGTTTTGATTTGCATTTTCCTAATGATTATGGTGTTAAGCATCCTTTTATGCACTCACCAGCCATTGTGTATCTTTAGAGGAATGTCTATTCACGTTCTTTGCCCATTCTTGAATTGGCTTGTTTGTTTTGTTTTTGGTTGTTAAGTTGTAGGAGTTCTTTATATATTCTGGATGCTAATCTCTTATCAGATACATGAATTGTAAATATTTTCTCCCATTCTATGGGTTGCCTTTTCACTATCTTGATAGTCCAGTTGATATTTTGTTGCCTGTATTTTTGGTGTCACATCCAAGAAATCATTGTCAATACTAATGTTATGAAGATTTTCCCCTACATTTTCTTTTAAGAGTTTTATAGTTTTAGCTCTTAAGTTTAGGTCTTTGACCCATTTTAGGTTAATGTTTACCTATGATGTAACATATGGCTCCAACTTCATTTTTCTGTGGGCAGATATCCAGTTTTCCCAAACCATTTGTTGAAGACTCTCTTTTCCCCTTTAAATGTTTTAGCACCCTTTATGAAAATTAATTGACCATATATGCAAGGGTTTATTTCTGGGATTTCTATTTCTATTTTGTACACCCACATAAGGTTAGTCTTATTTCTAAAACATAGCTCTTTTCTTGCAATCTTGCATTTCAGAAAAGCCTGATTGTTTTCCAGTTCTATCAGATACATTCCAAATTTTTGGCATACTCAAGACCCTCTGTGATGTTGCTTTAATCAGTTTCTTCAATCTCATCTGTCACCGCCTCTCCCAATAGTTTCCACTCCAGCCACGTTGGACCCTGCGTGCAATACTGAATACAGCTTGTGTTTTCACACCCTCTGCTTTCATTCATGTGATTTCCTCTACCTAAAATGTCCTCCTTCAGATTTTTCCAGGTGAAAATCTATGCATCCTGCCTAGCTGCTACATCCTCTGTGAAACTTTCTTTAACTTCCTCATGTGTCATTGATTGCTTCCCTTTCTGTGTTTTTGCTTAACTAGTTTATACATAAAGCCCGACAGGTACCCTAGAGAACCGGAAGTAACCATACATATTTCTGCCTCCTTGGAAATCCTGAGCTGCCTGAGCGAGAAAGGCAGGCTGTGTTCCTGTGTGTCTCCAGTGAGGGCCTAGCTCAGTGTCCAGCTCATAGAGCGTGTCTGAAAAATATTTAATGAACAGAGTTGTATTTGAATGTTCACCCTTCCCGATTGCTTTAGAGCTTGTTTTGTGGTTTGCAACTACAGCCTCAGTTTTTCCTTTCTTTGCATCTAAGCAACACATGCTGGCTGATCAGAAATAAGTATAACCTTGCCAGTACCTTCTTTGCCCTGATTTCCTGAGTCAAGCACCAGATTTCTACTGTAGCTAAAGAAAGAAAGAAAAGAAAAACAGCAACAAAGAACCCCTGGTAGATTATTAATTTGGAAGCCCTGCTTTGTTTGCTCTAGTGTGAAAGAGACAGGCACTACCATTTATATAATAATCATAAATGTGTCATGTGCGAGCCAGCGGGGTGTTCTGGGACTGTGAGGCCATCAAAAGATCCGTGTCTGTGGGTTTTCAGTGTGCCGTTTTGGGTCTCTTATCCCCAGCCCCTAACAACTAACATAATATAAATGTAAATCATGAACCTAAGGAATCATGAAGAGTAAATAAAGTAACTCAGGGCTGATGTGAGTCAAACCCAGCTTGGGGAAGAACACAAAGACCCAGCTGTCCACAGGGGTCCTTTAGTGTCAGACTCACTGTAGACTACCCTAATTCATCGCGTCTGCGTCAAGGGACGGGTGATAAGACGATCCACTCAGAGAACCAGGACTGGAGTAAAACCCCACACACTCAGACAGCAAGGAGAGAGGCTGGTCTCATCTAGGAAGAAGTTAATATAAATGGAGTCCTGTAGGCATTTTGAACGAGCTGCTAAGAAAGCAGTATGAAGTATGGGTTTGTTGGACCCCTTTCAGAGGGTGAATCAGAACCATCCCCTCAATATAAATGGTCAGAAGGAAGTGGGTACTTCTTAAAGGTTGGGCATTTTATTCTCATGAACATTTCTTTGTTCATTTAGGAGATGTCTACGGAGCGCTGGCTATGTGTCAGGCACGATGCCAGACACTCAGGTTCCAAAGGGGAAGTGAAGGAGAAAGGGAGACAGGCCCTGCCCCAATGGAGTGTACGCTGCCATGCAGAGGTTAAAGTCACCCCCACACGTGCACACACAGACTCGAGGTGCCATGTACACACTTACATTGTTAGCTTCTTAGCAAACTGTTTCTTCATAGATGGCTCAAAAATAAATTCAGCCTGGGCCGGCCGAATGGCGTGTTGGTTAGGAGTTGGCTTGGGAAGCCAGCTCTGAGCAGCAGGGCTCTGGTTCGGATCCCACATGAGGGCCAGTGACACTGCCCTCTACAGCTAAGATGGTGAACAACAGCTCGACCTTGAGCTGGACTGCCGTGAGTCGCTGGCGACAGTGCAGGCTGCAGTGGGGCTGGCGGGCGGCTGGCAGGCAGCTGGTGTGCGCTTTCATGAGCCGCCATGAGCGGCTGTCCAATGGCTGGCAAGCGACTGCCTCACCCGGGAAGAGCGCAATGATAATACCAACATGGGCCAGTGAAACGACGTCCTCCACAACTAGACTGAAGAACAAAAGGGCAGCAGCTTGTCTGTTCTCCTCCCCCAATTCCCCAATAAAATCTTTTTAAAAAAATAAAATAAAATAAATTCAGCCTGTCCTCGTTGGACAACGGGCCAGGAATACTATAAGCTCCTTCCACTTCCAGCATAATCTTCCAGAAGCTCTAAAGAATGACTTCTCTTTTTGTTGAGGGACGTAGATAACGACAGGCCATTCAGCAATGGAGTTTTCTGAAGCCTTATTATTTACCCTGTGTATTTTGCTAGCTAACTTTCTGCAAACACCCAAGGCCACTTCCAGTCACACTGTTCATTACTACAGCCAACCACCGTTTGGCACTGAAATTGTCTTGAACTTGATTGTCATCCTGATGTATGTGACACTCAGCCCTCTTACCCTGACTTTAGTCTGTCCTGAGTTTGTATGGAGACTGGGCAAGAAACTCCACCCAAAACATTCCTTCTCAGTTATTCTAGATTGGCCTGATAACCGAGTGATTAGTGTCAGGTAATTCCCGCTGTTCCTACCACCGCCACCGTGGGTTAGGCGCTTAGATTATCTTCTGTGCAAGGCTTTTCAGTTTTCTGTCGACTCTTTTCTATACTGAGATGTAAATAGCCCACGAGCCATCGTAGTCCGGAATGCCTGGGCCATGAAAGTTTTAGGGACCATAAGGCCTTTGTCACCAGAGCTCAATGCCTATATTGATGTCTGTCATGCTTTCGGATTTCATTTGCATGGATTTCGTAGACTTCCCATCCCCATGACTGGTATTAGATAATTGCATGTTGCTTCACAATAAATCCATATTCACATTCCTGGTTTCCAAGAGTGTAGAGGACTAAAGATAGTTACCAAGGGAAGTGAAAAATAGCTTTCTCTTTGCCAGAAGAGAATCTGTGCTCTGCTGCTTTTCATTAATAATAAACTTCTGTTGTGAGTGTTCGTGGTGTTAAAAGAGTTTCCAGTTGAATACTTGATTCCTTGTTAAATATCTGAATGTTTATTTTAATGTTTTCATTTTATTTTTCTAAATTTCGTTTTCATTTGCTTCCTATAGGGGGAAGGTTGTGAGTGCCCATTGTAAGCTTTCACCTTTGTGCCTTGAGGTTCAGTTTACCTTCTGGTTAAGAAAGTGCTTAAAGAATCTCAGCTCTTCATCGTACTGGGCTTTATACCTATTTCTCGAGGTATCAGCTTTTAGTAAATCATAGTTTTTATGATTCTACGAAATTGGTAGTGAAGAGTTGGTGATCTGTGTCTGCTTAAATATTAGTGAAAATGCTCGCAGTGAAGAAGCATCTTTCTCAAAAATGTCAAATTGGAATTTATTTGATTATGATGCCATTTAAATTATTTTTGAAATATACACTGTAGAAGGAAAAATTAAAGCCAC